CTCGACGCTGTCTTGCGAAAGGGTCGGTGTGGACACTTTTTCATCTGAACATACTTAGAACAGTGCTTTGCTTGCCTCGACGCTGTCTTGCGAAAGGGCCGGTGTGGACACCTTTTTCCATCCCATGGCTTTGCTGCTGCGGAAGTTGCGCGTCCAGGTTCCTCCCGCGCTGGCTCTCCACCCCCAACCCGACTCCGAAATGCTTCGTGATGCAGTGTAAGGTCTGTTGTTCTGTATAGATCGAAGTCAAATCGAAGGCTTCTGTGGTCTCACTTGATCTTCCGAACTCCCCCGAACCAGTTGTATGTGTGTGTGTGTGCTAAAGAGACAACGCATTGCACGAAGCGTGCATGTATGGAGCAAGCGTGGACATGTTGCAGTTGCCGTTGCAACATCGAGCGGATGTGAACATCAAGACTATGGATGCGTCAACAAATCCAGCCGATGTGCAGGATTGCACCATGAAGTCGTCAGGTACCATGGACGTCTCAGGCCGATTGACAACAGAAGGCTGCCGAGCGAGAACTATGATGGGCGAACCGTCAACGGCAACCTCAAGTGCTCGCATTGGTACATTGGTGCGGCGGAAGCGTAGTGATTCCCAATGCTTCGTGAGCAGACAAAGGTTCGTCGAGACGCAGGAGCTCCTCGATTGCTTGGCACGTTAAATACTTTGCGGCATCTGGCGGGTTTCCTAGTGAAGTAGGGTGTTTCACTTCGGAACGGTGTCTTTCCAAATCCCTAATGGCTGCACTGCCTTCCGCTGCTGGACTCCCGGCGCCACGAGTCGCGCAGCAGCTCAGCGAGGTGGACCCGTTTGTGGTATAGGATAGATCTTAAATCCCTAATAATCCTTTGAGAGACCTGTGTTGTGACTGCCGCTTGGGAATGTTTGCCAGATGCCGCCGGGTTTATTCTTCCATGATAGTATGCCTTGGGTTGGTATACCGGATGTAACCGAGGCCTGGTGCTCCCGATCAATGTCTGCAGCTATATTCAGTCTTTCTACAGGAGGCTCTGGACCACCGTGATCCCTGCATTAGTCCTACTAGGCCCTCGGATTACCCGGTGTGGGTAGACACGAAATAAGGACCCCATAAGCCCGTTGCGTTCCCCTGGAGTCTGTTGGATCGGCTAAGAAACATACGCTGGCCGGTTGTGGTTTGAGATGAAGAGCGAAACCCTAATCCCTACTCCTTTCAGAGACCAGTGTTGCGACTTCCGCTTGGGGATGTTTGTCAGCTGCCGCTATGTTTCTTCTTCCATGATACTATACCCTGGGTTGGCATAATGCGTGCTATGGAGGCTCGGGGCTCCCGATGAACCTTTGCAACTACAATCAACCATTTTCAGGAGGCTCCGGACCACCGTAATCCCTGGGATGACCTCTCCCGGCACCTCCTCAGGCCGCCTCTCCAGTGCTGGTGTCCCACTTCGTCCAGGCCGAGAGGGTCGCTTGGGAAGGAAAATGAATTGGCCCTCAGCCAGGTTGCACATCGCCTTCTGGATTGTCGCTTTGCAGAAGGTGCTGTTCGACCACCGTCTGCAACACTCTCGCTGGTTTGGGCCGTTGCTTGCTTGCTTGGACGCTGTCTTGCGAAAGAGCGAGCAAGCGACTTCGCCGCCGCAGGAAAAAGGATCGCTTGCTTCGATGCTGTCTTGCGAAAGAGCGAGCATGGATGTGGCTACTACTACTACTCCTCCTACTACTACTACTACTACTACTCCTACTACTACTGCTACTACTACTACTACTACTGCTACTACTACTACTACTACTACTACTACTACTGCTACTGCTACTACTACTGCTGCTACTACTACTACTACTACTGCTGCGACACGATCGAGGTCCAGGTCAGGGTATGAGCCCTCACGCTATGGGGATCTCGATTAAGCGTTCCCACACATAGAGCATAGAGTGAACTACATCGAGTCAAGTGCATGGTACATAGATCACTCCATGACTCTGTGACTCTATCTCACTATGACTCTATGACGCTATCTCACTGTAACTCTATGACTTTATGACTCATGACTCATGGACTCTATGACTCTTGACTGTATGTGCCTCTCGAGGTCCAGGTCAGGCTATGAGCCCTCACGCTATGGGGATCTCGATTAAGCGTCCCCACACATAGAGTGAACTACATCGAGTCAACTGCATGGTACATAGCTGACTCCATGTCACTCTGACTCTATAACGCTATCTCACTGTGGCTCTATGACTTTATGACTCATTGACTCTATGACTCTTGACTTTATGACTCATGACTCATGGACTCTATGACTCTTGACTCTGTGACTTTACGATCCCATACACTGGATCTATCACATAGCCCCACACTCTTCGCTGATGATGCTTTCGGGCCAATTGTCTTCTAGTTTCGTACCAGCCGAGGAGGCCGACCGCCCGCGAGGGAAAGGACATGGGCAAGGACCGTGGCAAGGCGCCCGCGCCGGCACTGGTGAAGAAGCGGAACAGAGCGGGGAAGAAGCATCGCGAGAGGTGGAAGGAAGCGCCGAGAGCGGCGAGCGGCACGGGCGACAGCCGCGAAGAAGCGCACGGACGCAGATCCCCCCAGCCCCCGCCGCTCGCTCCACAGGAAGTGGGCCGCATCATAGCACAAGTCGTGGAACTTATGCAAGGGGCCAAGCCCAGGCATGTTTTGGCGCGGCAGCGTACCACCCCAACCGCCGTGCGACGCCTGTGCACGCGATGTTGGGTCCTTCGACCGATACGCAAGGAGAGTGCGGCTCTGGCTCTGGGCGAGGAGAGCGGCAGCATGGATGCCGGACAGCGACGCAACGCTGCTGCTCGTGGAGTTGGTGACTGGACTATGAAGTTCTCATCTACAGCCGTTGGGGGGGATGAAAAACAGGGTTCGCGTAATTCTCATGGGGGGGTTCACTGAAAACATGGTGTTCCCGAAAGCGTCGCGAAGGGTTCTTCCGTGCGGAGCCGGGTAGACAAGTACATAGATGACAAACATAGAATCGAGCACATGACCTTATGACTTGACACTTGAGTCTACGACTCTATGACCCTATGACTCTATGACTCTATGACTCTAAGACCGAACTTGACTACTCTTGACTACTCTATGACTCTACGATTATGAGATGCTCATCTATTGCAGGCTGTGATATGTCAAAATAATATGGTTGCAAAAACTTTGCAAAAATATTGCTAATCGTTTTTGCAGAAAATTTTGCGTCAGAAAACGGATCTTTTATATTTTGCAGAAATTTTGCAAAAACATATTCGTGTCGTTTTTGTTTTATGCTTCTGCAACCTTTGGTTGTGTACGGTATGAAACAGGACCTGACGGTTTCTCGGCAGTGTCAAAATGTTTCGAACCTGAACTAACTACTGATGTTGGAGATCCTTCGTGGAGGTTCTTCGACAGTAGTTGTTGCTCCTCACTTGTTCCCTTGGTGGTCATTCGTCGCCCAATACTGTGCAGGAAAAGGATGCGGGCCAACAATGAACACTTGAAAATGTGGATATCGTACGTTCATTTCAGTCATGGGCTTCCTCGGGGTTGCAAGCAGGCGGTGCTGGAAGCTTATGTGCCGGAGACCACTCTCGGACTTGATGTCCTTGTCGATGATGTTACTATATGGCATTATTCTTTACTCGGTCGGCCCCAAAGAGTGCTAGGACCAGGAGCTGCTGCGGTTTCCTGGGCCCTGCAAAACTGCAAAACTTGGGCGACCTTGTCAGGCAGTGCATCAGGCGCCTTTCGGCTATTATTCCACGGGCTGCTGCATTTTGAGGTTCGGGTGGCCTGTAAGTTGTCGGGGCAAGTATCTTGTTGCCAGGTGCAGGGTGGGGACCATGCAGAAGGGTCAGGCTGTGGTATGGTGCGGCAAGAATATGTCACTGGAAACGCCCAGCGTACAGTGGGCAGGGAAAGGCCTTCAGTGCCTACATGAAAAGTTTATCAATGAATTTACGTTTTCAATTCTTGTTGGGGAAGAACAATGCTGCCCGGTTTTGCCGGATTCCACTCAGGGTCCAGCGGCCATTCGCCAAAGGTCAAGGGACTCGCCCTTCAGATTGAAGAGTTTGTGGTCCAAAAAAGTGCTGAACAGGAGTAAGTCGAAGTTACCACCGTGCATTCAGTCGCAAAACATGTGTTTGCAGCCCGCACTCTAGTTGAGATGCCAAAGACACGTTTGGGGCACCGGGCAATCGTGGCATCCTTTCGAGATCTAAACGTAGCCACGTTAACTAGATTACACTCCGATGGACAGGCAACCTTTGTCCAGCGAGTACGAGTTACTAGTTACAAGAAATTTACTAGTGTGTGTGCTGCTACGTAGCAGCAGTAGCATTGTGTGATGTCCTGTGCCGGGTTTGCTTATCGGCTGATCGCAATCTACTAAACCTTGGCCAGAGCGCAGTTCGAAATCTCGAAGACCCTCGTTTTGGTCTGAGCGCAGGGTAAGTCAGGTAGCTCGTGACTCGTGACAACATATCCCAGCGAGTCATGTTCTGATTGGTTTTGTGTTGTAAGTAAGTTTCGGCCTACTTTTGGCCTCATGGAGGTGCAGCTTGATTTCTAGCAACAACTTGAATTTTGCAATGCCTTGGAGGATCTTTTCGCCAGGGATCGCATGCAACTTGCCGTTGCCGAACATCCTTTCATCAAAGGCTTCATGTCAGTTGCTGCTACTAGTCACGCCAGCAAACATAGACATGGCATAGCGCAGGAGCTTCTAGGGATCCTATGGCCTACTAGGGATTCCAGGGCAACTGCTGTACTGTACCGCTGAGTTGTAGATTGTAGGCTCTGTAGCTAGCTAGCCAGCTGGTAGTTACGAGTTGCTCGCACAAGATCCGAAGGCATTGCATTCTTCGTCCGTGCAAGGCTGCTTTAGGGTCCAAGCGGCCGCCAATTAGTTTAGAACAGTAGCCGTAGCTGCTGCATTGATTTTCGCACAGACTTAGACATTGTAGCTGCAGCTCCCAGAGCTGTTGGATTTTTTGCGACATGTCATCGTGGGACGTGGCGATGGAAGAGGAGATTCAGCTGTCCCAGGAAACGAGCGCACAAATTTCTGAAGCCGACAAGAGACGCACTGAGAGCACAGATGCAGGTGTTGCAAGTGAAGAAGGGGGAGCGCGGGGGTGCACAGTGCCTCGCACGTGGTGGGCTGGGCTTTTGAAGGCGGCTGGCAACGGGTGTGGGCTGCCTGATATTCAGCCGCCAGCCAGGTCGCTGAACATAGTGTCAGGCTGCACTGGTTGCTCAGCTGAAAGCTTCGTCTTGCAGGCACGGTTTGCTTGGGATTAGGTCCTGGTCTCAGGTGTGCATTGAACGCTTGCAGGGCTAACTGTGATCCATCGCCAGTGCACAAGTACTTCATTTCAGATCCTGAGATTCCTTAGAGAGCTTGCCTTCCAAATTTCCAGCGGCCCGAGAAGCCAATAAACCTAAACAAGAAGCTAAAGCTCAAAATAATGTACACTGTTGTCACACCGACGGCCTCCAGCTGCAAGCCTTCAGCCTCAGCCAAAACCACAAAAGCTGAAATATCAACCCCCAGGCCCTAAGCCCCTAAGCCGAAGCCCTAAGCCCCAAGCCTAAACGTCCTCGACCTGAGACCTCAAGGGCATCGTGAGTTCCCAGCTTCCTGCACCTTGTTTGCCTTTTTGGTGCACTCATATTCCAAACCTATTGTCAATGTCCTCGAATGAGCTTGAATCTTCAAGCTTGACTTGAATTTGAATTCAAGCGCAATTCCAACTGCCCAAACCTGACCGAACCCGTTTGTCTGTGTAAATTTACTAAATTGTGTTTCGGCAGGCCTTCGGCTATGACTTCCAGCTCCACAGCATCTCAGAGCGAAGCAATGCTTACCGCGATTTCCTTCTCGAGAACCATGGTGACAGATTGCTTCATGTTTTCGGTGATGTTAAGTCACAGTTGGAAGCAAGCGATGCAAGGCCGTGCCTCACTTGTGCGGCAAAGAACATCGTGTGCAATGAAAGTGAATTTGCTGGAGAGGTGCACTTGATGGTAGCCGGATCGCCGTGCGATCCGTACAGTGTTATGCGCCAGAAGCGTTTCCATGAAGATAGTGTGATGCGACATCGGGATTACTCAACAATGTTTTCCAGTGTTCTCCGTATGATTGCTAAATACCTGCCCTTCATCACCATACTGGAACAACTGCTCGGGTTTGACCAGAAGTTCGATGCGGCTTCGCCCGAGACGCCCTACCAGAGGCCTGCTGCTACAGCTGATACTCTGTAACTACAATAACTACAATTAACAGTTGCAGTTGCGCAGCTCCACCTAGTTTCAGTGCCTTCGAGGATGTGCAGCATTTTGTTGTTCCTGGGTCCGTGCTGGGTCGGGCGATAATGTGAGGGTGCTTCTGGGTGAAAGGTTGCTGGTGCTGTGCTTTCTCTGGGCCCTTCAGACCATCGACTGTAGGACTGTAGGCTCGCACTGTTTAGTATTTGAGGAGAGGCATGGAGCTATGTGTAACTGTTCCTGCAGACTCTAGCTGCTAGCTGCTAGCTGTCATCAAACATTAGATTCATTAGATGTGCAGCTGACTGTTGCTGCCACTGCCCCCAACGAACCCCAACGGCCCAAATAAGTGAGAAATCATGCTGGTGTGGTAGAGTCACCGTGTGCTGAAGTGTAGCAGTGTAGCAGTGTAGTACTGACTGTTCCATCGTGCTGTGTAGGGCAGGGAATTCGAGACCGTTCCGTGTGAGAGGCATGTTTATCCTCATTGCGTAGATTGTCCTTGCGCTTGTTGGTGTTGTTGTTCGTGCTGCTTTTGCGCAGTGGCAAAACTGCCAGCTTTGGTATCCTGCGACCTAGGACCTAGGACCTAAGGTACCTAATGAGCGACATCGTTTTGGGACTTAGACGCAAGCCGCAAAACATGGCAGGCTTATGGCGAGCTTGGGAAGCAGGTCCTTCGCATGTGGTGGGTTCTATGTCGCCAAGCTGAAGCTGGATGCACACTCCTGGATGCAGATTTCCAGACCAAGGCCTGATCTTGTTTGGGAGAGACTGCTGACTCAGTCAATGTAGTCAATAGGTCTGACTAAGTGGTGAGCCGCTGTAGAAGTGCCATCTTCTGCTCAACTTCGTGGTTTGCCGGTGTCACAGATTCGCAAATAATTAACTCGAGCGCTGGACCCAGCATCATTGGTGAGTTCAGGCGCCTTTGATTCCTTCGTTGCTATGGCTGCGGCTATGGCTATGGCATGTGTGTTCAAGCTTCCTGTGGAGAGTTTCAAGCACAACTGCTGATTGGATAATGAAGTATGGAACAGCGCAACCACACAACAAAAGCAAAACTTGCAAACATAGCGATAGGGCCCTCGATTTGACAGCCTTTTTCTCATTTGAGCCTAACTTGGGTCCGTAGATCCCAAAATGTTAGAATGTTAGAAGACCATGATAATTCTAGATTCTAGCTGCTAGCTGTAGCTTCGATGTTGGCACAGATGTACGTGCCCCGCGATCCTCATGATTCTGCTTAAAACGGGTGTGTTGTTCTGGTGTTGCTGCTTTTGCACAGCCAGCCTTACGAGGCGAGGCAAATCGAGTTTTGGATCCCAGTGCTCCCATCACTCTTTTGAATATATGGAAGACACTTGGGAAGCGGCCTTGTCAGATGCTTTGGGTCAGGAACCTGCCGAGCCATCAGATCCTTCACTGCGTCAGAATTTGCTGTTGCAGAGTAAACCTAGAGTTGGGCGGCCAGCTGGTAGCCGCAACAGGGGAGGTCCGGCGGCGGCGGCATTGATGGTGGATGCAATGCAGGCCCCTCAAGCGCCTGAACAGCCCCGCAGAGGCTTGCCAGAAGGTTTGGTTCAGTATCAACAGCAAAGAGCTGCTCTTGCACGGACCCCAAGCACACCTTGGGGGTGTCCAAGGCTTCTTTCAGAGGTGGGCACATCTCTACAAAGGGCCATGGGGACAGCCCTCGCTGAGATTCACAAGCACATGCAGCCAGCGAATGAGAAGTTCGTGGATTCAGAACAAGCCAGAGTATTGCAACATGTTTTAGATGCTGACGCCCTCACGTGCTCGTCTTCGTCAATGGCACAATTGTTTCCAGGAACGAACAAAACCATGATTCAGAAGAAGCTGGTTCAGTGTGGTGCTGGTAGCCATGCTTTGAGTACATCACTTTGGTCTTCCATGCTCACCACCCTTCATGAGACTTTGACATCCCAGGGTGGACGACCGCTGATGTTTTTCTTGAAGCTCCGATATGACGAGTCTCCTGCCACTAGGCTTGCGAATACACAGTCGGGTTGGTGCATAAAGTTTATACTAACATTTATACGCTTTCAGTGGGTTCGTCTAGCGAGCCTAGCGGCCAAGGCTGCTGAGGCTAAGGCTAAGGGGCTCAGGTTTCTAAAGATTCTGGGCTTCAACGCCGTATAGAATATAGAACTCTTCAGCATCCTCATTCAGCAGTAGAGTAGAGTCGAGCCGATATTTTGAGTTCAACATCTTCAAATATAAGGCGAATTAGGGTTCTTCGTGAAACTTTCAAAACTTTGGAGTTTTAGTGCTGTCTCCAGTGTTGGCTGCTTGTAGTCAATATACTCACCAAGCAGACATGAAGCCTTTTAGCAATTTTAGCAGCAGCAAGGCAACAACACATCCCCGCCTGCGAGTGCGCAGCTCTAACTATAATTGTAACTCCAATCTTAGAAAGAAAAACAATTGAGCAGGCTTGCTTCGGACTGGAGAGTTGGGTGTGGACTCACCGTGCGAAAACATTTCGAATCAACAATCGGTTACGCTGAAGTTTCTTTGAGGTTCATGCAGCCGAGTGAGAATTTCTAGGGAACCCAAAGTTGCTTCGGTAGTGGTCTTTTAAGAAATAGCCAGCCGGCCAGTGCAGGTGAAAGTGCGCGTGGCCACTATGCAGGATCCGGACAAAACTCCGTGGCAGATCATCCTCCCGAAATCATGTGTGCAAGCTGATCAGATTGCTTGTCATGCCAGATCCATCGGCTTACCGCAGCAACCACTGACGGGTGGTGTACGGTCTGCAGCTGAGGCCGTTACTCACGCAAAGCTTCTACAGACTCAGATGTCGGTGGGAGTGTTGTATATCTTCACCACGGAACAAAGTCAAGCGGCCGATGGGGTCAGTGCCAAAAACTCTTTCGTATGGGTGACTGGGAGCGTACCAGCACCACTGCAGGCCATGGACTCTTCCAGTGGCGAGAATGAAAGGGCATGCCTGTGGGAGTCCATCAGTGCACTTCCCGAGCTTGAAAGGTTGCACGCTGACTTCCCAGTGAAGCTTCGACATTCGTGCACTGACAGGTATTCTGCTAATTTCCGGGCGGAGCGAGGCCTCCGGGAACCTGGTTATTTGGAAGGCTTCAGTCTCATCCATTTGGGATGCGACGTCCACAAGCTTAGCACGACCATGGGCTGGTCGCAGGCCTCTTGCAGCAACGACATCAGCGCCATCCTCAACGTGGCACTGATGTGTTCCAATTTGGGCGGTGTCCGGAAGCTGCGAGACATTCTGACAGCACTACTTCTCGACGAGGTTTGCATCAGGGAGGAGCCCAGGCCTACAGATGCAATTACCAAAAAGTACCGCGAAGACGTGTATGACTTGTTCCTGCCCCTGCGCGGCCCAGACCGCAGGATGAACACGAAGAGGAGGTTCATCCTGAATTACTTCCTCAATGGTCAACTCCAAAGTGAAACGGTAACTCACCATTGCCTATTCGGATGTTGTGCAGATCGCCACGAAACGTTCTCGAACATGGCCTTGCACCTGGTGTGGGCTTCGCTGCCTTTCCAGTGTCCTATACTCTGTAGGAAAAATTGGTTGGGTACTTTACCCAACCTCGACTGGGTGGGTCTGATGGAAAGCCACCACGGTTTGTTTCGCCGCTTGATGGCCAAATTTGTCGGCAAGCCACAGTCAGGTCTGCAAGACGACAGCAGGGCCCAGCGAAGCAATCTAGCAGACCCTTGGGCCATAGCAATACAGGATCATTTGCGGGAATCTGGCCAGCGCCCTCCTCACGTTGCTTCTTCTGCAGCTGATGCAGGCCACGACTCACAGGAGGGAGGTTATCAAAGTCCGGGGGTTGGAAGAAGAGTCGTAATGCACAAGACAGTCGCACAATCGTAGAGTATAGTCGTCGTACAATACTACATGGTCATGCTTAGGCTTAGGCCTTAGGCTCAGGCTGAAGCCTGGACTTATACATTATACACTTAGACTTATACTTCTGCTGAAAGCAAGACTTGGTTTAGTCCCAGTCCTTTAAAAAAGAACTATCATTGTTCCCATCCCACTACCTGAACTTCAGCTGCAAATTTAGAAGCCGATTGGAAAGAAAACCTTTTTAGAAGCCGATTGGAAAGAAAGCCTTGTTAACGTTGCCTTGAATTCCCAGGACGATCCGGAAGATGATGGTGCAACGCAAGCCAGGGCTGCAACTGGGGACCAGCATCAGCCAGACGCTTCTCTTTGGGCTGAGCTGAACCGACGGCGCAAGGAAGATGTCAGGAAATGGATCCAATCGGACGTGTATGGCAACCTGCCCATTTTGAGGGAGCTCTTGACACCTTTGCATGGGTTGATGGCGCACATGTTGATGCTTTCTGGTCCAGCCTACGAACGCAAACAGGCAGCATTGGCTGCACAAGGCAAAGCCCGTGGGTATGTGATCACGTCCGCTGCGCAAGGTGGAGAGGTGGACCAATGTTTTCATGACCTCCTCAACATCATATGCTCTGATGCCAAGGGCTTGCCAACAGAGACATTTGCCTGCAGTCAGTTAGTTAGTAGTAACAGAAAGTAGTCGTTTTTACTCACTATCGGTCTTCCGCTGTGCCACTATGACTATGACTATGAGTCCTTTTCTCACTTGAACCCTTTAAAACCCTTATACCCTAAACTCCTAAATTCCCGCCTGGACTTCCAATACCCCAGAACATCCGCAGACGAACTGTGGCTGAACATTTTAAGTCTTAAGGCTTTACTTTAACAGTTTAAACTCTATAGTATATAGGTCTGAGGCTAAGGCTAATGTGTTCTGCTCTGCTAAGCCCCTAAGCCCTAAGCCCGCATGTGATGAAGTTCCTTCTCTATCTGTCGGGGTGAAGCAAGGCTTGTTCCATGCTCGCAGTGCGCTGCGATTCCGCATGCCAGCCGCCTCGCTTTGCTGCCTTCACGCACTGCTCCGATTGCCAAGGTTGCAACTTCCATTCACTCTATTTCTCTGCATGGAAAACAATTCTGTGTTGGACGACATACTGGCTTTGAATCCGTGCTGTTATGATGAACTCTTTGCAAGGCTCGTCAAGCGGTATCCTACAAAGGATGCCTTGTTGGGGCCGGAATGTCAAGCGATTCTTTGGGCTTTGGCAGAGAAGCTGAGCGTCGATGTGGCAGAGATCGAAGCCACACACAGTTCGATTCGGGACTTCTCTTTGCTCCGCTCACGCGGTTGGCTGTCCAGCTTGGAGTCCCTCAGTGCACGTTTCGTACTTCAACAACTTGCCAAGGATAGGGGTGCCACCAGGAACAGTGCCAGTGATGGCATTGGACGAGGACGTCGATCGAAACAGAAGAAGGAGAAGAAACGTCGTGGCGGAGGTGGAGCTTGGCGTGCTTTTTTGGCACGTAATCTGCGTGGCAAACCTTTCGCAGCAAAAAACCTGCGGGAGGCCGCGGTGGCTTACCGTGCACTCAGTGCTGAAGACAAGCAATACTATCAGGACCTCGGGCGCCTTGCGACAAAGGCACACAAAGCTGGTGGCAGAGGATTCGGTCCTCCCGCACGAGAGTCCCTGCAGCAGCAGCAGCAGCCCCAGGACTTGCCTGGTGCTCTCAATGATGCCGGGGCCATGGTGATGCAGAATGCAGATGATCTTCTGCAGCTGGATTTCAGCGGTTCAACTTTTGAGGACAAGTTCAGACAGCAGAAAGACGCCCTGGCTCACAAGGACGATTCATTAGCATTGAGCATTCCAGAGCAGACTGCTTTGGATTTGCAGGAGAACCAACTGGTGGGCACGCCTGCAGATGCTTTTCAGCTTCAGGGCCATGAAGATGTGGTGCAGGCTTTCAAGCAGAAGCAGTTGCCATCTTCCAAAACGTTGGCTCTCACGTGGCGGCCGCCGGCTCTGTCCGCATCGAAGGCAAGGGAGTCATTCATGATAAATATTCCTGTTTCCAGTGAAGTGCCCAACTACAGCACTAGAGTCACTAGAGTTACTAAGTTCCTAGAGTGTTGTTCTCTGTTGTTCCAGGTTCAGCCCAGCCTTGGGCATAGGGCATAAGGCCTCGGGGCCAGGAGTTCTGAGCACGAGGAACAAGAATGGTACCAGTTGCTGTTGCTGGTTCTATGTTGGGTTGAAGCGCAAGGTCGTTATCATTACACATGTCTATATGGTACTTAGTTCTGCGTGTGAATTCCTGAGGCCCTGCCCTGTCAGATCAAGTCTAAGTCTACTTACTTCAGTTTGCCTCCTGGGTTCGAAAAAAGTTACAGTTATTGTATTGTAGGGCTTGAGTCTTGGCGTGGCTCGTACAGTTTGCGGTGAAGCAAAATTTGTCATACTATCTGTTCAGTTTAGTTTAGCAGCAGCAGTTTGCGAGTCCTTTCTTTCTACAGATTCTACCCTCGTTTATCTCACGAATGAATCGTAACAACGACCCCTGTACTAGAGTACTGTGAAGTGACGGGTTTGCCTTCCCTTTTGTGAATCCGAGTTACTTTTGGGATGTTCCCAAGGTCTGACTTTGGAGTCCATGGCTTGTGGAGTCTAGGGCCCATGGATCTTCGACTTCTGTTTGGCTTCTGCTGCCGTTTTTGCTGCTAAATTACAAACTGCGGTTGAGTCGGCTTCGAAGAAGTGGTCTGTATTGTCAGCTGTTCTGCGTTTGGTTTGGGTCAGATTCCGATATACTGTGTAGTCGCTGTAGTCACTGTAGTCACTGTAGTCAATGGGCTGGATTCCACAGCTTGGCCCTGGGCCCCAGAATAGTTGTTTTCCCCCAACATCATGGCACCTTAGAACCCTGGACCGTCGTGAAAATGAAGGTGCTGCGTGTAGTGTCGCAGCATCCTGCCAGGCTCTTCTTCACCCTTCGAGCTTGGGCCGCACCAAGAAGTACGCCCTTCAGAAGCATTTGCAGAAGGCATGGTCCAAACGGTGCCGTGTATTCTTCCACAAAGACCAGCCGCGGATCAAACCTGCTAATGCAACTGAGTCGTTCCAGCCCACGCCCTGCTTCCTGCTTGGTCTGTGTGTCTGTGGAAAGTATCGTGGGAGCTCGCCAGAGGCTTTGCACTTCTGGAGACAGCTGGTTGCATTTTTGAAGCCAGTCTTCGCCAAGGCTAGAAAGCAAGAGAAGAATCATGAGCGGCTGTTGCTTGAAGACAAGATGTTGGTTTTCAGACTCAGGTCAGGCCCACCGCACAGGGTTCCTGAGGACGCTGAAGAGG